CTTCTCTGTTCAATCTTCAGTCCTTTTTTGGCTTTTTTTTTTTGGTGGTTTTTTTTTTTGCATTGGTTTTCTATTGGTTGGGAGATTGTGGTTCATTTTGGGTTTTTTTGGTTTGGGTATCTTTTTTTCCCTTCTCTCTGGATGAGGGATTTGGCTGCAGCCTCACCATGCAGTGACGTGGGGAGGGGCTGTCCCTGCAGAAACATCTTTTCTTCGTCTCTCTCTCGATTTTAATTTTTCCTTTATTTTTATTTTTTTTTGTAAAAAACAAAAACAAAGAAAATAATAAAAAAAAAAGAAAACGTCAGACTCTTTGGCTTTAAGTAAGAAATGGTAAAAAAAGGGGAAAAAAAAAAGAAAAAAAAAAAGAAAAAAAGAAAAATCCAAAAACTAGATGATGCCAAGTCAAGCCGTGCGACGGACGCTCACCTGTAACTACCTTGCTAGCTAGCCAAGAACAGACCAGACTCACCTCTGCTCCAAAGGAAATCCAAAACCAAGGAAGATCCAAACATCTCTCCACTGCCAAAGTTCGTTTCGTTCTGTTGTCACTTCCTTCCCTTCCCTGCAAGGACGGACGGATGGGCCCCCGGGGCTTTAAAGAGTTTCTATTATAATAAAGCAAAAAAAAACTAAGGTGTTTTGTTTTTAAAAAAGCAACAAAACAAGAAGCCCCCAAGGCGTGTGGGGGGAGATGGTGGCTGAGAACAGCCCAAGTGGGCACAGCCAGAGCTGGCACATCTCTACCTCTGCCCACTGCCACCCTGGAAAGAAAAAAAATAATTAAAAAAAAGAGATTAAAAGACAGATTTTGGTTTTCTCCCTTCCCGAAGCCCTGCGGCCGGAATCCCCCCACGCCGGGCTGCTCCCACACCCTGGGCTGCTCCCACACCCCGCGTCGCTTCTCTTTTGCAAGGATTTTTTTAAGAGGAAAAAAAAAAAAGGAAAAAAAAAAAGAAAAAGGGCAAGTGAGCCTCCTCCTTCCTGGGCCAGGAGGCAGGCGAGGACCACGTGGATGATCTGTACAAAGCGCAGTGGACAGGAGTGCAATACGGAAAGTCCCCCGGCTCCGAGAGGAGGGAAGCCCCGGGAGGGGCAGGAGTGCTGTCTGCTAATGTGAATGTAAATAGTGTTTGCAGAGGTCCAAAAAAATAATAATGATGATGACGATGATGGGGACAGTGATAATAATAAGAGACGTTTGCCAAATAAAAGATGCTGAGAACCCGCTGGAGGCTGCGTGGGGGAGCCAGGCTGGCCGGAGCTGAGCAGGAGTCCTGTGCTCCAGAGGAGCTGTAGTTTTTTCCGCATTTGCAAAAAACCATCCTGTGTGTTTTCCATAAAGGAGGAAGAGGAGGGGAGGGCTTGGGGCCGGGCAGGTTGTGTTGCCAGTCACCCCAGGGACCATGGCCGTGCTGTGCTGTGCCATGCTGCAGCAGAGCTTGGTGCATGGGGCACCCTAAGCTGATGTTACCAGCCCTGTGCTACCAGCAGCGAGCCTTGCTGCAGCTTTGTGCACCCCAAGGCTTTGGTGCAAGCCCCTGGGGGGGGGTTCTGTGCACTCTTGAGACCCTAGTGCATCCCCCTGGAGGGTTTCTGTGCACCCCAAGATCTCACTGCATCCCCCCAGGGGGTTTCTGGGCACTTTGAGACCTTAGTGCATCCCTCCCAAAGGGGTTTCTGAGCACCTCAAGGCCAGGAGCTTTGCCAGGTGCCCCTCGAGTGACTGTTCACTTTATTTATGGTGTGACATATGTAATATTGTCTATTTTTCTTACGTTTCCTGAGAAGAGGTAATATATAAGAGTATTGCAGCTGCACCTGCTGCGGGGCTGCCTGCTCTCCTGGGTGTCCGTCCTGTCCCTGCTCTTCCCACCTTGCGTGTCCCCATGTGTCCCTGGCCCTGCTCCACGCTGGGGCTCTGCCTCTCTACCTCTGCCTCGCCAGGAGAAACTGCAGATAAGAGTCTGCTTTTATTTCCACTTCTTTTTTTTTTTTGCTTTTTGTTTTTGGTTTTTTTTTTAGTAACAACACAAATACCCTGCAGAACCTTGCGTTGAAACCAAAAGCCGAGGGGGGGGAGGGCACAGGCGGCGCTCGCAGGCGTCCAAACCAGAACGACAGCTTTAAAGTGTAAAATTTCCCAAAAAATTCGTGATGGCGGGGGGGGAAGGAAAGTGGCAGCAGTGTGGTTGTGGGGCTGGAGGGGACCGTGGTGGCCGGGAAGATGTTGGCCCGGAGTGGCGGGCGCTTCCGTGGTGTTTTTCCTCCAAAATGGTGTTGGGGCGTGTGGAGGGGCCAGGGGATGTGTGGCCCCTTCTTGTGCCCCAGCCATGTCCTTTGGTGGCTTTGTGGGATCTGGGAAGTGGCAGGTGGCTGAGCCGCGTGGTGATG